AATCTGTTCGAAATGCAGAAATTGGAGAATTTTTTTACTTCAGTGATTGATTATCCTGCAAAACAATTATAATTTATGGGTGGGTGTGGTGGAGAGGGGTAGCCGCGAAACCTTGACCTTAAAACTTATACTCACTATTTTCTTCGAAAATATATGTGAGTTCCACAAAAGTATCACACGTAGTACAGAAAAAAAACTTGCCGTACTCCAATTGGATTGCCGATTTCTGATATTCAACATGTGAATAACTGAACGAAACTTGGTGGAGAAATGGAAACAGTCGTTGCTCCGGAATCGATTTTGAAGACATTTCGTGTTCATGTAGTAGCAAATAGATTAGAAAATTCATCGGTTGCTGTGTCGCAAGCCTCGATCTCGAACTAATTAATTAGTAATGATGGTTGAATAAATCAATTTAGACTATCGCAATGCTAAACAACACTAAATCGCAAACAAGCGTGTTTCAAATTGTACTTCCGTTCAGTACGGCGCAAAATGGTTTCACAACTATAGTTCAATAAGAGTCTATATTAAGCTAGTTTCACATTGTTTGCCTCAAGGACAAATTTGTTCATTTGATAAAACACCTGCCTCATATTGTTATCCGTGTCGAAATGTCATTGACGCAACTATTCCGATTAAAATATCTCTTTTAGCAGAACCTGTGACAAGGTCAACATTCGGATCATGAGAGATCAACTCATTGCCAGCCCTCGAAGAGAAGAGTGGCAATGTCGTTGACTCTATCTGATAAAGTCACAAAATTGACTACAAATGACGGCACTGTCAATGACTATTCATTATTGATTCAGTTTATAACTATCAATAAAGGAAAGAAATATGAAACATAATGTTTTGTTGGAACTCATCTCATTTATTGCTTACGGGGTCGAACACGCCAATGAATCAAATGAAGATGGATGTTCTTTTTTTCCAAATTTTTTATCATTCATTTTAAATGCAAAGATGGCATGCGCAGCACCTATTCGATTTCTATCCTTTCTCTTTCTGTTAAAATGTCATTTATGCTCAGTACTTTTATATAATACTGAAAACAGTGATGAAACTATTGATTACTACGATTGTATTTATCATCAAACTGAAGCGGAAATCAAATATTGTATTCGTCCCAACGAAGCACTACCTTTCTTAAATCGCACGTTTGATTATTGCTTCAATAGTGGGACAAAAGTGACCTTCTTTGAATTGCGGCAACTCAATATTTCATTGAGCCAACTTCTTCGATGGACTTCTTCTATTGAAATCATAGATGCATTTCTATCCAGCCATGATGACAATCAAGTGCAGAACTTTATTTGCAATTGTACCAACATCAATACATTCGGAAAATACTGTGAATATGAACTATTTTATAATGCAACAACATTTAGTCAAACTGTTACGAAGCAATATGAATTGAAACGTCAGTATCCGTATTTCGGTGGTCAACTCTATGGTAATTTGTCATGTTATACAACATTATTACAGTGTGATTATGGTGAATTATGTTTAAATTGGAGAGATATTTGTGATGGAATACAGCAGTGCATTGATGGGAAAGATGAAAACAACTGCGATAAATTAGAATTCAATGAATGTGACAATGATGACAAAGGAGAATATCGTTGTGGAAACGGCGCTTGTATTCCAGCAGAATATTTTCTAGATGGTAAGTAACAAAGTTTTCGTCCAAATGTCCTTGTCTGTATGTTTTATCCATTTTAAATTTGCTTTAAGAGGCGTGGGAAAGTCAAGAGGGGAAACTTTATAAAATACTGAAAAAAAGAACAGCTATACAATTTCAAACTTTGACTTTCTACGACTCACCGAAATGAAAGTTAGGCATGTGCATGACGTTGATTTTTAGAGCGAACGCTGCTGTATCGAATGATGTAAGACATAAACATAACCAGCCAAATTTTGAGAGAAAACTGAGGCACGCACTAAAATTAGCTATTTCACAAAAACGCTTTGTTAATAACTTTTGACGACCTTGATGAAAACGTGTGAAATTTTGGCTCACGGCCTAAGTTTGAACGAACTTTCTGCTGAGCATAAAAAATAGGGGATCAATTTTTGCAGGTGACGACGTTGCTCGATGGAGGCATGGACCGTCTCTTAACGAATTTCAAGTCTAAGCAGTTACTTAGAAGTGGCAGATCCCCAACGATAGTTGAGAGGAGCACATTTTTTCGAAGTATCGAATTCTAGAATGACCTTGTGCGAGTGATTCAAATTGTTTCCATGAACAAATGCCATCAACGCGTTTCGCTTTGACCTCTTTGTTTTTTTATCCATCCAAAGGTGAACCCGATTGTCAAGATCAATCAGATGAAAGAACATGGATCGAAACTAAAGATTGTGCATACGAACCTAGTTTCTATTGTGACGATTCACTCTGCCCACCACATCAGTTTTCCTGTGGCGATGGTGAATGCATTCTCTCTTCATCTCGGATTCCGCTTCGTCATCGCTTTGATGTTGGACAATTCTGTAAAAACTTACGTGATCATGTACATGTTTGTGAGCTGAGTCAAGGTCGGTTTCCATATCCACTATGGACACAAGAACACAGTGGTTCATGTTTGCCATGGCCAGATGATGAGAGAATAAGCAGACGAATGAATCTATCTGATTACTGTCGCTTCCTTGTCCAATGCGCATTAACCAATGGTCTTCAAAATGATTGTCCTTGTGGAGGTACTAATCGGTCGGCGTGCTACTCCGCCATCAACGAAATGTGCGGACATGAAAGATTTGTTATCTATCCGGCTCGTTTTTGGATTGCGCCATTTATCCTTTCTACATACAATGTAATAGAGAGAGATTGGAACGATACAACACCCGATAGTTTTGTAGTCAACGGTTCAATTAAGTGCCGTGGTTATCATGGTGAACGATATGGACCTGATTTTGCTAATATTTCCCTTACGTTTCTCAAACTTGGAACTATCTTGTACGAACATTTATTTTGCAATGTTTATCCAATAGTTAAAAACTATTCGTCTCTCACACCAAAGTACGATCAATCTTGTTGGGCAAAAACCGATACAACCTTTAACAATCAATCATATCTATTTGATGATGTTTGTCAACAAAATCTATGCTTCAGTCGTTATCGAATACAAGATAGTTTGCACAATTGCCAAAATAGTTTTGATGAAAAGATTTCGCCTTCATCAGCTTTGCCGTTGCAACAGCAAAACTTTCGTTTTCAATGTTCGGATCACGAGCGAAAATCGTTATTGGCTAGAGCTATTGGTGATAAACGACCTGATTGTGCGACGAATGAGCGTGACGAGTATACACCAGACAATAGTACACCATTAACCGTATTCCAATGTACAACGCATGACAAGAGTGGATGTTCATTTTTGAAGAATTACATTACTAAAACATTTACTGTACAATCGTTGGATCAATTCATTGGCACGGCTTCGCAAACTCCCGAAGTAGTACCGTTTCATTATTATTGTGATACATTTTGGGATTTAGTATCCAAAGAAGATGAATCATTCGAGAATTGTCAGAATTGGATTTGCCCAAAAGATCAATACCAATGTTTGCGATCGAAACAGTGCATTCCAAAACAGTGGATATGCGATGGTAAGTGATTTCAGCTAGCAGAAAAAGTTGCGTTCAACTAAAACCAATTTCTAACTCGTAAGACATGATGCATTATGTCGACTGAGAAAAACTAGATCATTCAAAGTTTTGAGATGCTCGTCGTTGATAATCTCAGTTTCTCACACTCTAATCCGAATCTTTTGTTAAACAGCATTTCTATTCTACAAGAGACAAGTGGAACTTTCATGTGTTCTGTACTACTAGGTGAATGGGATTGTCCAGATGCTTCCGATGAACAAGGTCTCTTTCTCATAACCGAACTGTCATTGAACAATCGATTTCTCAATAGAGATTTAAAAGAGCTGAAAGATAAATGCTATAATCGCTATATTCAACAACCATTTGCAAATATCTGTAACATAACAGAAGAATATCCTTGTCTTCTTGCCAATGTTTCATATACTTCCTCGTCAAGTTTACTTACACAGATTTTGAATGCTAGCCGACCGTGTATTAAATTGAATCAAATTGGTGATGGTCATTCGCAATGTTACGGCTCACTTGATGAGCGAAACTTATTGGCCGATTGTCAATTTCCACAAGCACAAGCTGGTTTTAATTTTCGCTGCAAAATAAATAACACTTTGCGTTCATGCTCAGTTTTTTATTCGTTTCTATGTGATCCAATAATGCGCTGTCTTAACACACAGGATGATGCACCTTTGTGTTTCCATCGGCCAACATCTACTAATTCGGAATGTGATCAAGATAATTCACGTGACGTCATTTGCTACAATGGTGATTGTAAGAAAAATGCGCGTTGCAATGGTCAAATCCAATGCCAATACGGTGAAGATGAATACTGGTGCGATCGAGTAGAGAACCTATTGAATGACAATATTTACTATCGTGATAAGAAACGAAAACTGCGTATAACGACAGATTATTTGATTTCTCTCAAAAAATATCCGGCTGCTCAAAGTAACAGACAACATAAGAGTATCATCGATACTAATCCATCCATCTCAGAATTACCAGGGTTGTATGATGCCTATAAAAATTTCTCTATGGTATCTTATTCATGTAATCGAGGCATTGCTGTTAGATATTCAACTTCAATCATTTGTTTCTGCCCACCATCTTACTATGGCCAGTTCTGCCAGTATCACAGTGACAGAATTACAGTTATAACTCATTTAGATTGGGCTATTCCAACTAACAATTTCACAGTATTGGCAACACTTCTCTGGAAAGATCTAATAGTTATTGACCAACATATATTTCACAAGAGCCACGATAAACATCGATTTTATTTATTGTACAAACGTTCAAATGAATTTCTTCAACATAAGCAACAGCGTTTTCTAAATCGTACGCAGATTATTATGGAACATCCGTATTCGATTCGATTTGAAGCATACAATGCGACTTTGGGTTTAATCGGTGTATGGCATTACATCATTTATTTTGACTTTTTACCTGCTCATCGATTTTCGAAAATATTGAAATTGAATCGAGAAGCTACAAAGGCTTCGTGTCCATCTGATCAGCATTGCCATCCTATTCATTCTACGTGTCATCGGTACGAGAATGTGATGGATAAATCTTCTTATTATTGCCACTGTAAAAACGGCTTCTTCGGTCTGTTCTGTGATGAATATGATGATCGTAATCGTTGTTTACATTGTTCATCAACATCAATTTGTAAACCCAACTACCCTCTATGTCTCTGTTTGCCAAATACCCATGGTCCTGGCTGTAATATTAGGCTTGATGACTTATGCTATCAGATGAATCTATGTCAGAACAATGGAACATGTTATTCGACGTTCGATTCTTCAATTGGAGAACGTTATCAATGTCGATGCACAACCATGTTCTATGGAGAACATTGTGAAACAGCAAAAGCAAATCTTGAAATGCAGCTAACGAATTCAAATTCAATAACTGCTGTTGCAACAGTGCAATATTACAATATTGATCGAAAAATAATGAATTTGAATGTAGAGTATCAGCAATTGTACGAAGTAAAACCGTATCTATCATCTCAAATTCGACTCTCTGCAAGCTCTACACATGTACCAATCTTAGCCATACTTAAATTGTATTACAATGAAGAGATGAGAAATGAACCACTGTATTTTATGCTGTACGTTCAACCTAATACAACTACTGTCAACATAAGCACAGCTCTTACAGCATCAAATCAATGTAATGGTAAGAAACTGTTCTTTATTATTTGTGAGCTGAACCCCAAACAGAGTGCGCGGTCGGTTTAGCTTAAAAACAAAGAATTCCATGCCGGATGTCGCCACTGTAACATTGACCATCCGACACTTTTGTTGTCCTACGAAAAATTGATATTAGATTTCAGCAAAATTATTCGTCATGTTTTCTTCATCCTCCTATGCGCACTGAACTGACTGTCGTTTTTTGCCAGTCTGAGTGACCATCCTCGAGCACTGAACCAAGCTTGGAGAGTGGCAACACCAACAGTGTAGGCCCAGTCATCGAGGAGTGGTATCGTGTTCGCAACAGATTTTTCCTCATGAACTTCTATTTCAACTATTTTGTGTATTTCGCAGAAAAAAATACTGGGGCAATAAATGATCAGTGGAACTGTTTTGTAATCGACACATAGTTACTATCTAGAAATAAAAACACCTCACACTCATTCTACCGTTGAATTGTGTACATCTATTTGCTTAGATCTACCGGAGCTCGCGGTGAGTTGAAATAAATGTTCTGCACTTTGTTCGTCGTTCTACGGTTTCATAAACAAATGAAATATGTGTTGCACATTCTCATTTCAGGTATGACAACAACTTATCTGTCGGAATACCATCAATTCTGTCGAAATGATACGTCGTTACTGTGTTTTCATGATAATCATTACTTTTGTATATGTCAATCAGATCCTTATAAGGTCAATTGTTTGACATACAATCGTTTCTCCGACCAATGCTCGAACTGTTTATCTGGCGGATTGTGTTTAAAAGGGAAACATGAGCTGCAAGAGTTTCAATGTTTGTGTTCGAAATGTTTCAATGGTGATCAATGTCAATTTTCTACACAACTACTCAGTTATACATTGGATTCACTAATCGTCAAAAGTCAATTCAGTGTGCAACTGATTTATGTTCTGGTCGTCTTTTTATTTTTCTTTCTTTTTGGTTTATTTACGAACTATTGCAGTTTTTCAACATTCAGACAAAAACAAGTAAAAGAATCTGTAGTCGGTAATTATCTACTAATATTGTCGATTACGAACACATGTTCACTACTTGTATTACTGCTGAAATTTTCATATATTTTCCTTGGCAGCACCAACATTTTAAATGAAAATGATCTGTTTACTTTACTATCATGTAAAATTATTTCATTTTCTCTCTCAGCTGTCACAAGAATGAATTATTGGCTTGCAAGTTTTATTACGGTCGAAGGTTTAAATATTGTTCGTACACGTCCCACTACTGTTCGACGAGGTCATCGAGAACTTCAGTTGCGTACTCGACTGAGCTTAGTCCTGATCGCTATCATTCTTCTAATGCATCTACAAGAACTCTTCTACTGTACAACAATCAAAGATTTCAGTTCAAATGTGATTTGTGTTTTCGATCATACACACAAATTTATTTCACTTTACAGTCGTATCAATGTTGTTTTTCATTATTTTGTACCGTTCACCATTCAAATCATGTCAATTACACTTCTCATTATCTTAGTAGCACGTCAACGTGCTCGCGTTAAAATGAGTTCAACATTGAATCAAGTGATAAGAGAGCAATTTAGACAACAGAAGCAGCTCTATATAATACCGACCATTATCGTTCTAAGTTCAGTACCACAACTCATTCTTTCATTTACCTATCAATGCCAGGAATTAAATTATGATTGGCAACGACATCTTCTACTAATTTCTTGTCTTCTATCACATTTACCACAATTACTTGGTTTCATTCTATATGTTTTATCGTCAGTGGTTTATAGACAAGAATTCAAGAAAACAAATATAGGGCAATGGTGTGTATCACATCAATTTCTATTGACTACATGAACATCAGCATTGGGAACATGATATGAAGCGCGGTGGTCATCATAGAGGGAAATCAAGAAAACAGTCTTCGTTTGCGAAAATAGCTGCAAGAGAAGAAGAGTATGCTAATGGTCATTTTTCTGTTGCTCGTTGACATTCTGATAGTGTTCATCATAAGATCGATGCGCCTAACCTTTTCTACAACAATAAAGATATTATCTGACATCGAAAATCGACGCTGTTGTGTTTGTTTAAGTAAAAGGTATAGCCCTACCTCTGATAGAAACATAGTTTCATACGCGAATATCAAAAGGTTGTGGGTGTGATGAGACGATCACCACAGACACACCAACACCGAGCCACACCCCACACCCACCCTCGGTTATACAGAGTTATGAGCGGAATAAATATTCTAGTAGATGGAGCCTTACTCTTTGCGCTATTTTCTTTTGAACCGTACCTAAAGTACATTTTTTGAGTTAAACATCTCATTACCAATTTATCTCATCTGTGACTACTGTATCTAAAATTCGCAGTTCGATCCGACCTTGCGTTCGAAAGAGAAATCATTACTTTCTTCTACTATTTTGTGAAACGCGATCTGAAAGAAGTGTTGAAGTACATAGGGTAGAAATTTGGACCCCCCCTCCTCCCGACCTTTCCTACAGACGGTGACAGACAGTCACGTAATCCGTCATAGATCGTGACAGACGGGCTCCAGAGGCATCACAGACCGTGATACACGGCCTCGGGACCCATTGCAGGCCGTAACAGATCTTTTATACAGGAGTAGCGATTATATGTCACTAGGATCTAACGAGAGTATATTAGCTGCTTGTGCATTGCAGTTCTACTAGTTAAGTAAGAAATGATGAGTGAATGGGTGCCAAGGTTGATCGATGAAAGCATGATTTGTGCGACTGGTGAGACTAGCTACATCGTGTTTCACATTTTAATCCCGCAGGAACTGCACTAACAGCTTTTTCAATATTATCTTTTATTCGTATCATG